TACACAATCTCCACAAAACTCCTCCTGATACTTATCAACATATGCTTGTAGAGAAATAGTGCATGTTCTAAATGCGATTCACCAAGATTGTAGAGGATTATTTCCTCTATATCTGACTCCGATGAATAGTATCCCGTTAACTGAGTATTTAATACAGGCTAAATCTCCTAGTAGAATTATGGATTTACTCGAGATTATTCAAAACCCGAACATCAGTTATAGAGATAGTTTATTGTTAAAGATTAATAAAATCCGCAAGTGTACACAAAGAAAGCACACAGTGAAACCAAAAGTGTGTATGTGTGTGTGAGTGAGTGTTAAAAATCCATATATATTTTTGAGTGTAAATCAAGTATGGATAAATTATTGATTGTTTGTGTATTACAACCAATGGGAGAATAGATTAAAAATTGACATGTGCTCAATCAAACTCATACAGAAAATTACATGATGGATCAAGTGTCTAAATTACAGTGAGCAGATAAATAATACACTAATGGAATGGGCTTACTACATAAGCTCCCATCCAGAACATTGATGCTTTCATTTACAAAAAAATTTTCTTATTACCATCTATGTTCGACAAAGAGACAAAAAAAAATGAATGTACAACTTGATATGATCAGTAAGCGTTAAATTGTAATAACAGTTTGTATGTATTGAAACGTCTTATATCATGTATGTATATATGTATATTTAACATCAATGAATTACATCAAGTCAAAATGTAATCATAATGACGATCCGTGGGGCCAATAAACAATAGAGATTTTTGTATGATAAAAACAATCTCAGGATTTGGTCTAGATAAATATGATGGCCAGTATACTCTTCTTCCTGATCTAGTTGTAGTTTCTGTTGCTACTGAACTTCTATGTGAAGTATTGTTTGTTGCAGGTAGCTTGTATGGTACTTGCTCTGCTGCGGGTTTAGACGGTTTTATCGTTGTCTTTTTTTCAGTGTACTCTAAAAACGCTGGTTTTACTCTGTCGATGATAACAGTAACATGTTTACCTGCTCTCTCCACTGTAACCGTTTTACTGTCCTTTCGGATGATTTTAAAAGGGCCATCGTAAGGAGTTTGTAACGGCTGTCGTACTCTATCATTTCTGACGAATACGTGTGAGCAGTTGTCCAGTTCATTTGGTACGAATGACCTTACCTTTTGGGTTCGTGGTTCAACGGACCTAATGGATTCCATCAGCTGTTGTATTTGTTGCACGTGGTTGGTTATATCTGCTGGAATACCTGTTGCACGGTCAAAAAATTCACCAGGCAAACGTAACGTTGTTCCATAAACCAACTCAGCAGCACAGCAACCAGGGTCTTGTTTGATGGTTGAGCGAATGCCTAATAGTATCAAAGGAAGCTTGACATCCCATTTGTAATCTCCCCTTGCCGCCACCAAGGAGGCTTTTAACTGTCTGTGGAACCTTTCTATCATTCCATTAGCAGTCGGATGATAAGCAGTGGTTCTAATCCTCTTCATACCGAAAGTATCTGTAATTTGCTAAAAATAGTTTGCTTTCAAACTGAGCTCCACGGTCGGTCGCAATTGTTGTAGGGACATCGAAGTTTGTAATCCAGTGTTTCACTAATTTCTTCACCACTGCTGATACCGACGTGCCTTTTAATGGAACAGCTATGGGCCATCTCGTAAATCTATCTATGCATGTTAGTATATGCGTGTAACCATTAGAAATTGGTAACGGTCCAACGATGTCGATATGAATGTGGTCGAACCTAGCGCTTGCTGAGGGAAAAATTCCTGTAGGAGATATGATATGTCTATTTACTTTTGACTTCTGGCATTGGATGCATTCCCGTGACCATTTTCGTACATCTTTGGTTATGTTTGGTCATACAAACCTATCTGTGATAAGCTTTATAGTGACTTTTATACCTGGATGAGATATGTTGTGTAATTTCTCAAGAACGTTTCGTCTCGTGTCACAAGGTACAAAGGGACGAGTTTTACTTGTTGAGATATCACAGGTTAAGGTGTCCTTGTTGTTCATGGGGATGTTTTGGAATAATAGTTTCGTCTCCTTAGACTGCAAAGGTTTTTGTAGCTCCCTATCGAGCTTTCGACATTTTGTCATGTCTTGATAGTCTATATCAGGGAATGAGAAGGTATTGATATTTAATCTCAATAGTGTATCCGCTCCATCGGAAGAGTTTTTCTTGGGTACAATATGGAGCGGTAATGCCCACGAACTATCGGAGGGGCGTATGATACTCAACTCTATCATTTTTTTGAATTTGTTCTTTGCGAGAGAGAGAGGAGAGGGGTCAAGGCGTCTTGGACGTGCGAACACTGGTGGACCCTCTGTCTTTATGTGATGTACGACGGTATGCGTTGGTTTGTCACGTTTGACAGTTGGTCGTGATAAGTCGAGGAACTGATCAAGTAAATTGATGTATTTGTCATTCTCGTGATGAAGTTTGATTAATGAATGTATGGAAGTCTTATTAGATAATATTCCTCTAATTTCACTGCTATGATCGGCAAAGACAAGTTTCCGGTTTCTAACGTCTACCAGTATTTCATGGACTTGCAGAAATTGAATGCAGATTATAGGAACGAGAACGTCAGCTACGATGGAGTTCCATGAAAAATTGGATTTGGGCCCGAAATGTAAATGTAACTGCCTTTTACCGTGTCTTGATCTCGCAGTTTTAGTTTAGGGTCAGGTGTGTTTTTCTCAAGTGTAATAGGTGGTACTACACTAACCTCTGCCACGGTGTCGACTAACAACTGTGTTCCGGTTATTTTGTCTGTAACCTATAGCAAACGACTGTCTTAAGAGTTGTGGCCAGAGATCACAGTCGTCACTAAACGTTGACCTTGACGTTCCCTTTGCTGTGTGCTTGCGAAATTACAAGGAGGAGTACACTTTTTATCTTATTTACTGTACGTTCTATGGTACCAACAAATTTTATGTCTGGTAGTGCTTGGACTACGACGTGTACAGCTTATGAACCTTCCTTTACAGTGGGAGGCATTCGAAAACTGGAGCTGGGCTATCTGTTTAGTGGTGACGTCGACTGCTCGTTGTAACTCAGTGATCTCGTAAGTTGAGCTTGATTGTATGTGCGATAAGGAGTGAGCCCTAGTCCGCTCGTAAATTCCATCAGCTATGTCTGCTAGCCTATCAAAATCAACATCTGTTGGATGTTTTGCGGGAGACATCTGAGCCACAAGTGATATAGTATATGTTTACCTGCCATACTATTCTCTAATAAATTTGCCATATGGCGTTTTGATTGAGACGGTGTACTGTCACCTAGCTCTACATTAGCTAAAAGTTGATCAATTGTCTGCTGGTCGGTGAGAGATGTAACACGAATGACCTCTCTTTCTAGGCAATCGTATGGTGTGTCTGGATCCGGCTTGAAAATGACGTCAGGCACTTGTCGTCCGGCAGCAATGAGTTTGCGTAACTAAATTTCCTGCTCTAACTTGTGATTCTGTTTGCAACAAAAAAGTTTTCTAAGCGTGCGAACCAGAGTTCAGCCTCTTGAAGATTAAAGACAGGTAAAGGTACAGAGTTGGCACTCACAGAAATAGACTGAGACGAAAGGCTTGGTGAATTATCAAGTGACACGATACGAAAAAATAATAACAATGGCAATAATAATAAGCTGAGGAGTGAAATATACGATATGAAGAAGTCAAAAATAACAACAAGAAATATATATGAGACTCACCGAAAAAACACTGTCACTTTGGGTTTAAATGTGTGAATACACAGCAATAATTTCAAAGGAACAATGTTATGAGTGAATTTATTATGACTGTCAATGAATTGTTAATAATTGTAATAGTAATTCCAATGTGATTGATTGGAGAATATGCAGCAAACTTTGCAGATAAATGGTACGAGTTGTAAATGCGACTCACCAAGTTTGTACAAGCTAATTTTCTCTATATCTGACTCCAATGAATAGTATCCCGTTAACTGAGTATTTAATACAGGCTAAATCTCCTAGTAGAATTATGGATTTACTCGAGATTATTCAAAGCCCGAACATCAGTTATAGAGATAGTTTATTGTTAAAGATTAGCCTGCATTAAATACCTATTTAACGGGATACTATTTATTGAAGTTAGATATAGGGGAAATTTGCCTCTACATGCTCATTAGTGACGGTCTCCAAGAGGTATTTCATGGAGTTCTAGTGAGGAGCCGTCACCAGTGGAGTTCAACCAGGACTGTTGTGAGATAGTAACTCACTGAAGAGAGTGGTGGACGGTGGCTCAATTTCGTGGATTTATTGGAGTTGGACATTAACACCATTGGGTGACGGCTCAGTGGTCTAGAGGTTGGGCGTTTGCGCGCGAACCTGATAAGTCCTGGATTCGAATCCCGTGGAACGGGACCATGGGTGCACACTGCTGAGGAGTTCCATAATAGAACGAAACAGCCGTTCAGTGCTTCAGGTTTTCCATGGTTTTCTAGCTACAATTGACTCATGAATTCAATTATAAAATTACTAAAATCTCCACAAAACTCCTTCTGATAATAATCATTAACTGTTTACTCAAGAAATAATTAGTTAATGCAACACGGTTTAGAATAATATTTGTGTATTGTTATGATCTCATAATTAACTGAACTTCATTTATAACATTATGATACCTTATTTATTTAATCACCTGACAGTAATTCTATTCACAATATATACCCGAAACTGTACACAAACATATACTCAGAATGACTGACAATATACTTTGATCATCGGTCATTATCATTTCTGTCATTCGTGGTCATTATCTTATTGAAATTCTTGTTATTCTACTTCTAATATACATAGACAAGGATATTACACCAACAATGGTCATGCACAAGATGATAAAATATGTATCCATCATATGATAAAAAATATTACACAATGTAAATCAAATAAAGCATATCAGATCCACTAATTAGCTTTCTTAAAGATTGACATTTCAACAAGAAATTCGATAGTAAAATCGATAAAATAATCAATAATATTTACTCCTTTATTATGATATAAAGGAATGATGATGATGATGATGATGATGATGATGATGATGATGATGATGATGATGATGATGATGATGATGATGATGATGATGATGATGATGATGATGATGATGATGATGATGATGATGATGATGATGATGATGATGATGATGATGATGATGATGATGATGATGATGATGATGATGATGATGATGATGATGATGATGATGATGATGATGATGATGATGATGATGATGATGATGATGATGATGATGATGATGATGATGATGATGATGATGATGATGATGATGATGATGATGATGATGATGATGATGATGATGATGATGATGATGATGATGATGATGATGATGATGATGATGATGATGATGATGATGATGATGATGATGATGATGATGATGATGATGATGATGATGATGATGATGATGATGATGATGATGATGATGATGATGATGATGATGATGATGATGATGATGATGATGATGATGATGATGATGATGATGATGATGATGATGATGATGATGATGATGATGATGATGATGATGATGATGATGATGATGATGATGATGATGATGATGATGATGATGATGATGATGATGATGATGATGATGATGATGATGATGATGATGATGATGATGATGATGATGATGATGATGATGATGATGATGATGATGATGATGATGATGATGATGATGATGATGATGATGATGATGATGATGATGATGATGATGATGATGATGATGATGATGATGATGATGATGATGATGATGATGATGATGATGATGATGATGATGATGATGATGATGATGATGATGATGATGATGATGATGATGATGATGATGATGATGATGATGATGATGATGATGATGATGATGATGATGATGATGATGATGATGATGATGATGATGATGATGATGATGATGATGATGATGATGATGATGATGATGATGATGATGATGATGATGATGATGATGATGATGATGATGATGATGATGATGATGATGATGATGATGATGATGATGATGATGATGATGATGATGATGATGATGATGATGATGATGATGATGATGATGATGATGATGATGATGATGATGATGATGATGATGATGATGATGATGATGATGATGATGATGATGATGATGATGATGATGATGATGATGATGATGATGATGATGATGATGATGATGATGATGATGATGATGATGATGATGATGATGATGATGATGATGATGATGATGATGATGATGATGATGATGATGATGATGATGATGATGATGATGATGATGATGATGATGATGATGATGATGATGATGATGATGATGATGATGATGATGATGATGATGATGATGATGATGATGATGATGATGATGATGATGATGATGATGATGATGATGATGATGATGATGATGATGATGATGATGATGATGATGATGATGATGATGATGATGATGATGATGATGATGATGATGATGATGATGATGATGATGATGATGATGATGATGATGATGATGATGATGATGATGATGATGATGATGATGATGATGATGATGATGATGATGATGATGATGATGATGATGATGATGATGATGATGATGATGATGATGATGATGATGATGATGATGATGATGATGATGATGATGATGATGATGATGATGATGATGATGATGATGATGATGATGATGATGATGATGATGATGATGATGATGATGATGATGATGATGATGATGATGATGATGATGATGATGATGATGATGATGATGATGATGATGATGATGATGATGATGATGATGATGATGATGATGATGATGATGATGATGATGATGATGATGATGATGATGATGATGATGATGATGATGATGATGATGATGATGATGATGATGATGATGATGATGATGATGATGATGATGATGATGATGATGATGATGATGATGATGATGATGATGATGATGATGATGATGATGATGATGATGATGATGATGATGATGATGATGATGATGATGATGATGATGATGATGATGATGATGATGATGATGATGATGATGATGATGATGATGATGATGATGATGATGATGATGATGATGATGATGATGATGATGATGATGATGATGATGATGATGATGATGATGATGATGATGATGATGATGATGATGATGATGATGATGATGATGATGATGATGATGATGATGATGATGATGATGATGATGATGATGATGATGATGATGATGATGATGATGATGATGATGATGATGATGATGATGATGATGATGATGATGATGATGATGATGATGATGATGATGATGATGATGATGATGATGATGATGATGATGATGATGATGATGATGATGATGATGATGATGATGATGATGATGATGATGATGATGATGATGATGATGATGATGATGATGATGATGATGATGATGATGATGATGATGATGATGATGATGATGATGATGATGATGATGATGATGATGATGATGATGATGATGATGATGATGATGATGATGATGATGATGATGATGATGATGATGATGATGATGATGATGATGATGATGATGATGATGATGATGATGATGATGATGATGATGATGATGATGATGATGATGATGATGATGATGATGATGATGATGATGATGATGATGATGATGATGATGATGATGATGATGATGATGATGATGATGATGATGATGATGATGATGATGATGATGATGATGATGATGATGATGATGATGATGATGATGATGATGATGATGATGATGATGATGATGATGATGATGATGATGATGATGATGATGATGATGATGATGATGATGATGATGATGATGATGATGATGATGATGATGATGATGATGATGATGATGATGATGATGATGATGATGATGATGATGATGATGATGATGATGATGATGATGATGATGATGATGATGATGATGATGATGATGATGATGATGATGATGATGATGATGATGATGATGATGATGATGATGATGATGATGATGATGATGATGATGATGATGATGATGATGATGATGATGATGATGATGATGATGATGATGATGATGATGATGATGATGATGATGATGATGATGATGATGATGATGATGATGATGATGATGATGATGATGATGATGATGATGATGATGATGATGATGATGATGATGATGATGATGATGATGATGATGATGATGATGATGATGATGATGATGATGATGATGATGATGATGATGATGATGATGATGATGATGATGATGATGATGATGATGATGATGATGATGATGATGATGATGATGATGATGATGATGATGATGATGATGATGATGATGATGATGATGATGATGATGATGATGATGATGATGATGATGATGATGATGATGATGATGATGATGATGATGATGATGATGATGATGATGATGATGATGATGATGATGATGATGATGATGATGATGATGATGATGATGATGATGATGATGATGATGATGATGATGATGATGATGATGATGATGATGATGATGATGATGATGATGATGATGATGATGATGATGATGATGATGATGATGATGATGATGATGATGATGATGATGATGATGATGATGATGATGATGATGATGATGATGATGATGATGATGATGATGATGATGATGATGATGATGATGATGATGATGATGATGATGATGATGATGATGATGATGATGATGATGATGATGATGATGATGATGATGATGATGATGATGATGATGATGATGATGATGATGATGATGATGATGATGATGATGATGATGATGATGATGATGATGATGATGATGATGATGATGATGATGATGATGATGATGATGATGATGATGATGATGATGATGATGATGATGATGATGATGATGATGATGATGATGATGATGATGATGATGATGATGATGATGATGATGATGATGATGATGATGATGATGATGATGATGATGATGATGATGATGATGATGATGATGATGATGATGATGATGATGATGATGATGATGATGATGATGATGATGATGATGATGATGATGATGATGATGATGATGATGATGATGATGATGATGATGATGATGATGATGATGATGATGATGATGATGATGATGATGATGATGATGATGATGATGATGATGATGATGATGATGATGATGATGATGATGATGATGATGATGATGATGATGATGATGATGATGATGATGATGATGATGATGATGATGATGATGATGATGATGATGATGATGATGATGATGATGATGATGATGATGATGATGATGATGATGATGATGATGATGATGATGATGATGATGATGATGATGATGATGATGATGATGATGATGATGATGATGATGATGATGATGATGATGATGATGATGATGATGATGATGATGATGATGATGATGATGATGATGATGATGATGATGATGATGATGATGATGATGATGATGATGATGATGATGATGATGATGATGATGATGATGATGATGATGATGATGATGATGATGATGATGATGATGATGATGATGATGATGATGATGATGATGATGATGATGATGATGATGATGATGATGATGATGATGATGATGATGATGATGATGATGATGATGATGATGATGATGATGATGATGATGATGATGATGATGATGATGATGATGATGATGATGATGATGATGATGATGATGATGATGATGATGATGATGATGATGATGATGATGATGATGATGATGATGATGATGATGATGATGATGATGATGATGATGATGATGATGATGATGATGATGATGATGATGATGATGATGATGATGATGATGATGATGATGATGATGATGATGATGATGATGATGATGATGATGATGATGATGATGATGATGATGATGATGATGATGATGATGATGATGATGATGATGATGATGATGATGATGATGATGATGATGATGATGATGATGATGATGATGATGATGATGATGATGATGATGATGATGATGATGATGATGATGATGATGATGATGATGATGATGATGATGATGATGATGATGATGATGATGATGATGATGATGATGATGATGATGATGATGATGATGATGATGATGATGATGATGATGATGATGATGATGATGATGATGATGATGATGATGATGATGATGATGATGATGATGATGATGATGATGATGATGATGATGATGATGATGATGATGATGATGATGATGATGATGATGATGATGATGATGATGATGATGATGATGATGATGATGATGATGATGATGATGATGATGATGATGATGATGATGATGATGATGATGATGATGATGATGATGATGATGATGATGATGATGATGATGATGATGATGATGATGATGATGATGATGATGATGATGATGATGATGATGATGATGATGATGATGATGATGATGATGATGATGATGATGATGATGATGATGATGATGATGATGATGATGATGATGATGATGATGATGATGATGATGATGATGATGATGATGATGATGATGATGATGATGATGATGATGATGATGATGATGATGATGATGATGATGATGATGATGATGATGATGATGATGATGATGATGATGATGATGATGATGATGATGATGATGATGATGATGATGATGATGATGATGATGATGATGATGATGATGATGATGATGATGATGATGATGATGATGATGATGATGATGATGATGATGATGATGATGATGATGATGATGATGATGATGATGATGATGATGATGATGATGATGATGATGATGATGATGATGATGATGATGATGATGATGATGATGATGATGATGATGATGATGATGATGATGATGATGATGATGATGATGATGATGATGATGATGATGATGATGATGATGATGATGATGATGATGATGATGATGATGATGATGATGATGATGATGATGATGATGATGATGATGATGATGATGATGATGATGATGATGATGATGATGATGATGATGATGATGATGATGATGATGATGATGATGATGATGATGATGATGATGATGATGATGATGATGATGATGATGATGATGATGATGATGATGATGATGATGATGATGATGATGATGATGATGATGATGATGATGATGATGATGATGATGATGATGATGATGATGATGATGATGATGATGATGATGATGATGATGATGATGATGATGATGATGATGATGATGATGATGATGATGATGATGATGATGATGATGATGATGATGATGATGATGATGATGATGATGATGATGATGATGATGATGATGATGATGATGATGATGATGATGATGATGATGATGATGATGATGATGATGATGATGATGATGATGATGATGATGATGATGATGATGATGATGATGATGATGATGATGATGATGATGATGATGATGATGATGATGATGATGATGATGATGATGATGATGATGATGATGATGATGATGATGATGATGATGATGATGATGATGATGATGATGATGATGATGATGATGATGATGATGATGATGATGATGATGATGATGATGATGATGATGATGATGATGATGATGATGATGATGATGATGATGATGATGATGATGATGATGATGATGATGATGATGATGATGATGATGATGATGATGATGATGATGATGATGATGATGATGATGATGATGATGATGATGATGATGATGATGATGATGATGATGATGATGATGATGATGATGATGATGATGATGATGATGATGATGATGATGATGATGATGATGATGATGATGATGATGATGATGATGATGATGATGATGATGATGATGATGATGATGATGATGATGATGATGATGATGATGATGATGATGATGATGATGATGATGATGATGATGATGATGATGATGATGATGATGATGATGATGATGATGATGATGATGATGATGATGATGATGATGATGATGATGATGATGATGATGATGATGATGATGATGATGATGATGATGATGATGATGATGATGATGATGATGATGATGATGATGATGATGATGATGATGATGATGATGATGATGATGATGATGATGATGATGATGATGATGATGATGATGATGATGATGATGATGATGATGATGATGATGATGATGATGATGATGATGATGATGATGATGATGATGATGATGATGATGATGATGATGATGATGATGATGATGATGATGATGATGATGATGATGATGATGATGATGATGATGATGATGATGATGATGATGATGATGATGATGATGATGATGATGATGATGATGATGATGATGATGATGATGATGATGATGATGATGATGATGATGATGATGATGATGATGATGATGATGATGATGATGATGATGATGATGATGATGATGATGATGATGATGATGATGATGATGATGATGATGATGATGATGATGATGATGATGATGATGATGATGATGATGATGATGATGATGATGATGATGATGATGATGATGATGATGATGATGATGATGATGATGATGATGATGATGATGATGATGATGATGATGATGATGATGATGATGATGATGATGATGATGATGATGATGATGATGATGATGATGATGATGATGATGATGATGATGATGATGATGATGATGATGATGATGATGATGATGATGATGATGATGATGATGATGATGATGATGATGATGATGATGATGATGATGATGATGATGATGATGATGATGATGATGATGATGATGATGATGATGATGATGATGATGATGATGATGATGATGATGATGATGATGATGATGATGATGATGATGATGATGATGATGATGATGATGATGATGATGATGATGATGATGATGATAACAAAGACTGAATGAAGTTGTACAATTCACTATGGTAAATACTATAATTAGGTGAATGTATCGTAATTATTTATTTAAGTAAACACAAAAGATCTTTGAAAATGCATAATACTGATCATTGATTTTATTTTACTTGCTTATCCCATCGTAAAACTAATTGTTGAATACTGATTCAACTATTTATTCACTTAATTCCCTAATTTTTTACTGACTTGTTTATTCACTTACCTAAGCCTACTTCACCTTTTAGAGCATGGACTTCCAACTAGGGATCACCAGTCAACTCTTTCTTGGACTCTCTTCTCCATTTATTCACAAGTGCTATTCATGATCTTGATTTCTAATTCTGATTCGCGACTGAATGTGTTTTTTGTTCTTTAACTTGAATATACCAATTTAAGTTTTCTTTAGATATACTTTGATGTTTTCCGTAAAGTGCTTCCGATCAACATTCAGTATCTTTTTTTCATCTATCCCCCCCACCAACTGGAACGTGGTTTATTCTCTATATTGTAGTATGTTATTAGTGATATTCTCTGCTCGGTGGATCTGAAGTATCTTACATAGTTTCTTATTTGTACCTGTACCACGTTGGTAATTCCTTTAGTTTCAATGTTGAGTTTCACTTGAACCCAGTAACTTACACTTGGAAAGCGCAAGACTGATCAAAATTTGGTAAAGAATATCGACCGTTTCGTCCTATTATCTGGCTCCTTAGCAGTGCTCATCTACGATCCCGTTCGCAGTATTCTGTTATTGATAGTTATCATGTGCTCATTAGTGACTAGCTTCGTGATGGAATTCTTGAGTTCTAGTGGGAACCCGTAACCAGTGGAGTCAGTCCGTCTCGAATAGAAACAGTTATCTACATCCGTACAATGGAAGATGGTCGCGCAATTTCGTAGATTGGTTGAAGTTAGACATTAAAACTATTGGATTCCGGCCAGCGCAGTGGTGTAGAGGTCAAGTATTCGCTCACCAGACCGAAGGTTCTGGGTTCGAATCCCGCGAGTGGGATCGTGGGTGCGCACTGCTGAGGAGTTCCGTACTAGGACGAAATGGCAGTGCAGTGCTTCCAGCTCTTCATTGGTGGTCTAACATCAATCACTTCATGATCTCAATCAAAAACTTAATAATCTCCACAACCCTATACTGATAATCGGATGTTATAATATATAAACGTTCAATGGTGATAAACAATTATACACTTAGATAAATAAAACAATTAAGGTTAACAAAAAAATATGATTACAATACTTCTGACCATATCAAGTCACTCACTGTCATGCGATAATCTTAGTTAAACACTGTGAAATGATGGCTAGTCAGAGAACAGATTTGAGTTCAACTAATCTATTCAAAGTTCTAAATGGTATCGAGGATAGAAATGGTAGATCAAATGAGTGAGTAGAAACAACATTAATTTACTACTCAAATGATACTTTATTGCATATAGCTGATTTTGAATTTATAAATTACATGTATTTATTAAATAGTCTCTATTTCGTTTACATAACGAATCAATCTTCTGGAATTATCGACTTGCATTGAGTAGTTCGCAAATCATTTACAAATTATTAAAACTTTAATGATTCATGAACAATAGTAATGGTAAATAATAACTTTACTTTCAAATCATATGCTCGCAAGCATTGGTCAATCTGGCCTACCGATAATATCGTCTGAAATAAAACTTTCATTGAGATTAGTCTCACTGATGAATACCAAAAGGTGTGACTAAAAAAGATTGTAAACCATGTCATTTTATTACAAGCAAAGATGGATGGTGGCTAGTAGTGGAATCCAGGACGTCTATTTCGTTCTCTTTGGGACTCGTCAACAGGAGTTACACCTGCATCTCCGAGTTCATATTTACTCCGAAATTCGAACCCAGTACGTTTCTCTTCAAATACCATCACATTATTCACTTTGCTACTGAGTCCTAATAGCCACTAGCTTGTGCAGTGGAGTGAATTTTATATTGATTTTTTATTGCCTATTTGAATCTTTCGATTGATAATTAGGACTGCAATTAACCAGTCTCTTATTGGCATATGTGCATCCTGTACAGATTGTTTCGATATCGCCTTAAGTCTCAAATAGGACTAAACGTGTGTCCTGGATTCCACTGCTAGCCACCATCCATCTTTGCTTATAATGCTTGTGACTTAAGGCAGTATATCGATGCACTCCGCACAGAATACACATATGCTAATAGAAACTGATCAATTACAGTCTTAAATATCAATGGGAAGATTCAAACAAACAATTTATGTCATTTTATATTTGAAACGCTTGTAAAGTATACAATTTAGAAATATTGAATGACGACGATTGTCTTATATCATATAGGAAATGTAAAGTGGGTTACTCATTCTTAGTCTTCGAATTTTACACCTTTGGTAGCTGTAATTGAAAGATTTTGAGTCTCACGTTTTTCATAAGCCATTGTTGGTGTAATGTCCTACTCTGTTTCTATTTTTCACTGGTTTTATAACGTAACTGGAGTTGTTGCTTTTTCATCGTGCAAGGATCTCATGCATCTGATGCAACTTTACTCCATACACCAACAAATTCGTATATAGTTCATGGATGCCATCCAAAGAAGATAAGAAAGTCGATTAGAGTTAGACAAACGGGTTAAGTAAGTATGACAACATTCCTTATGGTAGTTAATGAAGCATGTAAATAAAAGCTTTAAAATGTCTTACTTTCTTAATTGTTAGTTTAAGCCTTTAGCTGCACAAGAAATACAAACTATGTGTAAACTATGGTCGAAATCATTTCATAATGAGGAATTAGCATATCTCACGCCTTATAAATAATGAACTCCTTATAAATCTTGTCTTCACTTATATTTATATCCAATAGTCATAGATACAAATATGCATATTATATAAATAACATAATCAAGTACTCCTCCTGGAGCCCCTCCAGGAACTAGTGCTGGTCCCAAGCCCGAATAGAGAAGGAGGGTTTGGCATGGGATTAGAAGCACCATCCCGTAGAAAACTAACTCGCTAAAAAAACTCTAACCAGAAAAAATAATTAAAACCACTTAAACTCTGCCCTGAGAGTTAGAAGGTTTTCATTTAGAAGAGTTATGACACCTCATGGTGGAAGCCGAGTTCCTTCGGAATTCACGAGGCTGAGGCCCCTCCTGACAACCAGAGCAACCATTAATTTAGGTACATGGAATGCTCGTACAATGTAAAGGACCACGAGAGTCTTCCAAATTGCTGCAGAAATGGAGAGTTACAATCTGGATGTACTCGGAAACAAGGGTACCAGGCAAGGTTGTTTACTCTCACCCTTTCTCTTTCTCCCGGTGATTGACTGGATCATGAAGACGTCAACATCTGAGGTAAGCATGGGATACAGTAGACAGATAGAATGCAGCTGGACGATCTAGACTTCGCAAATGATCCGTCTCTTCTATCGCACACACAACAACAAATCCAGAAGACGACCAGTGTAGCAGCAGTCTCAGTAGCAGTAGGTCTCAATATACACAAAGAGAGAAGCAAGAATCTCCGATACAACACGGCATGCAACAATCAAATCACAATTGACGGAGAAGATTTGGAAGATGTAAAAACCCTTACATATCTGGGCAGCATCATTGATGAACACGGTGGGTCTGATGTAGATGTGAAGGCGCGGATCGGCAAAGCAAGAGCAACATGTTTACAATTGAAGAACCTCTGGAACTCAAAACAACTGTCAACCAACACCAGGGTCAGGATTTTCAAAACAAATGTCAAGATAGTTCTAATGCATGGGGCGGAAACTTGGAGAACTACGAAAGCCATCATTCAGAAGATACAGGTGTTTATTAACAGTTATTTATACAAAATACTTTGAATCCGTTGACCAGGCACTCTCAGCAACAGCCTACTGTGGTAGACAACAAACCAAATTAGGAAAAAGCGCTGGAAGTGGATAGGGCACATATTGAGGAAAGCACTGAACTGTGTCACAAGGCAAGCCCTCACACGGAATCTTCAAGGCCAAAGGAAAAGAGGAAGACCAAAGAATCGCCAAAAGGCAGGCTTCCACTCGAGAACAACTATAAGACCAAAGAATAAATTACGTCGAGAAATGGAGAGAGACATGAGAAGAATGAACAATTTTAGTTGAATTCATGAGTCAACTGAAGCTAGACCACCATGGAAAACCTGGCAGTACTGGATGACTTTTTCGTCCTAGTATGTGACTCCTCAGCAGTGCGCATTCATGATCTCGCCCCGCGGGATTCTAATTCATGACTTGCCAGTTTCACGCGCACACGCTTAACCTCTACACCACTGACCCATCATCCAAATGTGTTTATGTCTAACTTCAACCAATTCACGAAATTGAGCGACACATTCACCATTGTCATCAATGAGTTACTATCTCACAACAGACCTGGTTGAACTCCACTGGTCACTGGTTCTCACTACAACTCCAGGATATACCTGTTGAAGCCAGGCACTAATGAGCGGATGATGGTTATTATCAGAAGGGGTTTTGTGGAGATTTCGGTAATTTTATAGTTGACATTGTGATTCAATTGAAGCTAGACCACCTTAGAAAACCTGGAAGCGTTGAACGATGTGGATACACACTGCTGAGGGGTCACACACTAGGACGAAACGGTCGTCCAGTGCTTTCAGGTTTTTCATAGTGATCTATCTTCAATTGACTCATGGTCTCAACTATAAAACAAAATATCTATCTAGCAAATTTTTAATTTCAAATAGGGTTTTTCTTCAATCGAATAATAAAAATTATTTTTAACGTTGACTTCTTTTATTAATGTAAAGAAAAGGAAAACAAAATGCAATTAAATGTCAAATAGCTTATATAAAAAAACAAAAGCAGTACTTTGTATTGTTTTACTTGAATATTCCCTTTGGTGTTTAGGACTGAAATTGATTAGTCTATTATTGGCATATGTGCATACTGTGTGTATTGCTTCAATATTGCCTTAATTTACAAGCATTATAAGCAAAGATGGATATTGCCTAACAGTGGAATCCAGGACGTGCGTTTTGTCCTATTTGGGACTCATCAGCTGGATGTACCTGTATCTCAGAGTTTATGTTCACTTTGGGACTCGAACCCAATACCGTACACTCCAAACGCCATCGCGTTATCCACTTAGCTACTGAGTCCAATGCTAGCTATTATTCATCTTTGCTTATAAAAGCAATGCTCATTGAACAATGAACAATGTATTGTACTTTAAAAGTTTCAATGAAACAATTACAACAATGCAATATTGTAGTCAAATAGAATAATTGACATTAAATCAAATTAACTGAATTGTTTATATTACTGACCATTAGATTAATTGTAAATATGAGAATTAGTAAAGAGATTAGATAGAGTGAAAGATAATAATCAACATGTTGATAGAAAAAGGAAAAAAAAATTAATAAACAAATAATACGGTAGGTCATTATCAACATTCTAATAGTATAGTGGATAGGAATTATTTAAATGATTAGTACAATGAATAATTGTTTAGTATAGTTAGTAGCCAATGTTAATCTAAGTCCTTAGTGAGTAAATTGGTTGTTTAAATGATAGACAATTTGATTCAATATCATGGTGTATTATGCTTTAATACTAGATGAATGATGGAAATCAATAATAGGGAATTAGCTTAGGTTTAGTTCTGGTCAACACCTTTCAACAAAATATTTCGATAGTATTAAGATTGACAGTGTTTCATGTATAGACAAAACGTTTGTGGGTATACAAATGCATTCACATGTTCACGCATGTCATTAATAAAGAATATTGTGTAATATAACTGATTCTTGGAATCATAATGATGTATTTCGTAGTTTGTTTTTAAGAGCTTTGGATTCATACTTGTTACACAACTGAATGGCTATCTGAACTCAGTAATTAAGTTGCATTGACTTTTAAAGGGGAAAGCAGCTCTAGTCTCGGAGTGAACATCAATTCTGTGATATAAATACATCCAGCTGATGAGCTCCAAATAACACAAAATGTGCATTCTGGATTTCACTGTTATCCATATCCTATTGATTTAATGCAATGTATTTCCTGAGATTGTTATTGTAATGCCTATGATTTGTATATCCGAATGATGTACTTAACCCATTGTAATTCGAATATTAAACAAAACTTTTTCATGAACGATAAGGAATTAACAGTTGACGGTTAAACCGTTCGCTGTGCGATTCAAATTATGTATTTAACATTAGTGTAAATAGATTTAAATTCCCGTTTCATTTAACATAGTCCATTTAACCAGACATTATCACTGG